TACAGATGCCGGGAGAAGCACAAGGTCCACATGCTTCTTGAAGTGCGTCTATTCCCTCGTGCCAGTCAACGACAGCGTAACCCATGTAGTAAGTACGCACCACCATCTGGTCTGTCATCCCTTTGACATATGCCCGCACGTTTGGTGCCAGCAGCGCAGCTGCGAGATGGGTCCGCAGACGTGTCTGTCATGCGCTAGGTACGTGTCATTCGTGCGTTGATGAGCTCCAACACTCACCACAAAGTCAGGATGACGATAGTAGGACTTGAAGAAACGCTTGATAAGCTCAAGCTCATTCTGTATCAGATGGATCTTGAGATCAATGAGCATCTCCACCACGCTCAACTGGGCAGTGGAAAGTGAGTCAGTATGGGCACCTCGAGATGTGAGAACCTCACACCTCCGCAAACTCTTGCACTTTCTGCATCTGCGCATGCGAAAGCTGCACAGATTCACATCTTTGCTTCGCAAAGACGCGGTTTTGATGCATAGGCATTCGCGCTCGTGAACCGTCCACCGACATATCTTGCTCGTCACGCTGACGACGCAATGGCACAGATCCCATAGAAGCAGGCATCGGTGAGCTGTTCCACAAATTATCTGTCCCATCGAACATGTCGCGACGATATGACTGAGTCGGATCTGAACTAGCGGAATTGCTGCTCTGGGCAGTGAAAGAGTCTTCCCCAGGCGTTTCAGCCCTTTGCGGAGTGGCAGCATCATGCTGCAGGCCAGATAAGAAAGGACTGCCCGCTGACGGAGTGAAAACTTGCTCGGGCCTGGTATTCATAGTTGGCGAAGCGAACGATGTGTCATGCCCGCTGCCCACAGCAGGCAAGGTCGGTCCAGAGGTTCCTGATACAGCCTGATTGTCCAGAGACAAGCCATAACGGCGAAGGAACTCATCGCGATTGAAGGCCATCATGCGCAGAGCTGTCGCAGGAGGAAAGCGACCGTTGAGCAAAATTTGACTTCGTGCTCGTTGCACCAGCGCGATCGAGCACGTGGATTGGCTTCCAGCACAGTTGCAGCAATGGTGAGTCCCAGCACACCTCATTCACAATCCTGTTCTGATGATTCGTATACAGGTGTATATGTGTATGGATATATGTACAATCAGTATTATATGAATATATGCCTTCACGACACAGCACCCTCTCAGTTGAACATAGTCCGAAGCTCTGCCTCGCGAGCCGCTGCTGCCACAGGATCAGCAGCAGCCCGTCGTCGTTTTTTGCTTGGGGCGTTATGTGGTGCATTTATCACTGCTGCTTGAACCTGTGGGAGTGAAGTACTCGCCCGCAGTGAGGTAGAAGTGTCGGCAGTACCAGCAACACGAGTAGCAGGAGGTGGTGAGGGAGGGATCATGGGGCCCGTCGCTGAGCTCGCGCCAGCTTGAAACTTCTTGCCCCGCCCTCGTCCTCTTGTTGAAGGCTGACCCGTGGACCGTGGTGCATTGGCATTGCCGCGTCGCCCTCTCGGTCCCCTCATCACTGGTTGTTCCGTCGGCGCGGGGTTCTGATCTGTACCATTGGTACGTATGGCTGGTGTCAGTGCACTCTTCGTTGCGTCTGAGAGACTTGGCTGATCCCAAGTTTCTTCGTCAGCCTCATCGTCGATAACCTCGACATCGTCGAGAAGCCCTGGGAGGTTTGCAGCCAAGCGCGCAGTCTCCGCTTGCTTGCGTATTGCCGCTTCCTTTGCTAACTTCTTTTGCAGCTTTTCATCTCGTAGAGATGCAGCTGCGCTGATGTGTAGTTCGTGCCGATCGAGGTACAATGGAGGCCTACTCCGGAGATGCAATGGCACTGCCTCCCGTATGATATTGTTGTTATGAAGACTGTAGATGTTGAGTAGATAATATGGATATTCGGTGTGTTTCACGATAGATTTGGTACGTGTAGTCTCCTCCCGCTCTTGACGAACTGTGACCGAACTTGTTGTCTTGCAGGCTCCTCTTAAACAGTCGTGCTGCACATTTACGATGGCTAATATGCGCTGACAATACTCATGTCAGCCGTGTTTATATACGTGATTGTCATACACTCACATGCAATGGAACAGTGGACACGATGCCCGTCGTTCGTATCACCGGCAGCTGTAGTGTTGGGTGAACTTCAAATTCGAGCTGGGATTCCTCAACAACAGCGCAAGACGTAGAGGAGTCACTTGCGGCCGAGAGAATTTCGCGTACTCGTGCAAACCCCAGGGACCGTGTGACACCTAAATGCTGTATTGTGGACCAGATGAGAGCCGGAATGCAGGTAATGGACAATGAGAGCGCACAGAGTTACGATTCACAATCACCTGATCACCTATTGCTGCCGTGTCCCCACTTGCTGTCACAAATGTTCTTGCAGGCTGCCATGCCCCAGATGGCGGCTGAAGTATTGCGTCACCGAGGGCCTTGTATGTTGCCGTGTCTTTCCATTTGAGGGGCGGAGGACGTATGTGTACACCCTTCGGTAACGGGAACAGGGTGGTCGCACCCGCACAGAATGGGGTCACAGCACTGACACCCAGCAAAGCAGCATCTTGCGCGTGGGTATTGATATGCTCAATCACTGACCGCCCCGCGCAGACCCAACGCTTCAGTTTGCGGTCAAACCAAAATCCCCCAGTAACGACATGTCGACATCGATCCTGGTGAGCAAACATTGTGGCAATATCACGGCTTGGTGCTTGTCGATTACTGTGGATCGAGCATAAGCGGAACACACGGTTGAATTTCTCATACCGCTCTGTGGAAAAGAGAATCGCAGGGCCAAAACGCCGGACATCCTCAATTATGTGTGCTAAGATGTGAGGTTTTGGCTTGTTGGTGATCAGCGCAGGACTGCAACTCGCCGCAGAGTCGAGGACATCATTAATGGTCTTCTTGAGTTCCTCCTAGGAGGACGTCATCAAATGTTAGACGTAGAACAGAGACGTATGAGACTGACGGACGCACCAAGTGTGATTCAAGGTCGGGAATGTCAACCGTCCAAATGAGAACTGTGAGGCGTCCAATCGCATCCCAAGCGTCTTGTAACTTTTTCTCGGCGATGCCAGCAATCGCGAATGTCATGACCTGGCTGATGGTCTTGAAATGTTTCCCGATCAGGCCGCCCGAGTATCGGCACATGTAGTCAGCCATTATATTTGGAACATTCAGACCGCGTTGATTGAGTGAGTTCAAGCGCGATTGGAATTCCGTAAATTTCCCTTGCTTGTCAAGGACCCACAATGTTTGTCCCCAGAAATACTTCACAACTCCGAGGAGGTGCGTGTGCAAAGGTTCGACAGGGGTGTCCTTATGAACATCAAAACCTGACACCAAAAAAGGTATTCAGTACAGAGTATTTGAATATATCCAGATCATACCGTCCAGTTGGAGGAGCGGGTTCATCATCGGTCGATCCTTATGCTTCTTCAATTCCTCCGTTAGAATCCGATTGACTTCTTCGGGTGAGACGGCCTTGCGCTGCTCGTTCGATTTTCTCAGAACCTTCCCGGTCTGGATAAGACGGGAAATGATGGGTGTGGCAAAAGAGTCTTTGACACCAGATGATGATACCGCTTCCTTGATAGGCTTCTCAGCGGCAGCGTGAGTAGCCATTATCATATGTGACAATATTGTATTCCGTGTCTCTTCGACCTTACGAGCATTCCCCGGCTATGCAGGGTAACTTCAATAATGCATGCAAGAGGTATATAGATATGATAAGCAAACAGACTCACACGTAGAAGCGTCGGGAAGCCCTCATCTGATTCTTTGAAAGCCTTTGTATCACCGGCATGACATTTTCGACAGACGTGATTGCCGATTAAGCCCA